AAGACGCTAACGGAGTCCATCAGCACTGACACCATCTACGCCATGTCGGCCCTCATGCTCCTCGGTCACCTCATCTTCTTCGACTACGGTGCCAACGCCGCCATCGTCTCCAGCACGCTGTCCCTCAACATGGCCATCTTTGCCTCGGTGTGCCTGGCCTCCCGCCTGCCTCGCTCCCTCCACGCCTTCGTCGTCGTCACCTTCGCCATGCAGATCTTCGCCCTCTGGCCCATGCTGCAGAAGAAGCTGAAGGCCCAGACACCCCGGTGCTACGTGGGGGTGACAGTGCTCTTTGCGCTGGCAGCTCTGGTGGGGCTGGCCACTGTCTCCAGCGTGGGTGCCGTGCTCTTCGCCTCACTGCTGCTCGCCATCTCCTGCCTCTGCCCTTACTGCCTCATCCGCCTTCAGCAGCTCAAGGACAACATCCATGGGCCATGGGATGAGGCTGAAATCAAGGAAGACCTCTCCAGGTTCCTCATGTAGGCCTGACCTACGGGACCTTCTTCTGTGAGCAGTGCAAAGGTCTTTGCTGGGGGACAGCACTGGGGGGAGGACACCAGCCTAATAAAGCCTCTCACACAGCAACGAGGACCATATTTGCATTACCCTCAGCATGTTTCCATGCTTTTGGCTTGCTTGCATTTGGCAAAGGAAGGAGCTGAACCCTGCAGAGTGCCTGGCCTATGCAGTAGCTTGGGGCACAGGCAAGTGGGGCAGTGAATGCTCTGCCCATGCAGACCCATGCCTGCATTTGTGGGTGGTGCAAGGGAGCTGTGCATCCTCTGAGCAGAAACACCACACAAAAATGCATAGCTGGCTCAGATGTGCCCCATGGCATGTCCACAGAGGTCCTCAGCCCCAGGGACCTCTACATGTGTGATGAGGACTAACAGCATTTCCCTGGAGGGCAGGGGGGCTGGGTAAAGATTGCCATGGACATGATGAATTTGCAGGGTGGTGGGTGCTGCTGGACTAAGCATGAGGGCACCTGGGACAGGTGTGGTGCAGAGGCAAGCTCACCTGCACCCTACAGGTTGCTGATCCCAGAATAGCCTCATGCCCCTGCCAGATGCCACATAATGCTAAATCCTTTAGAAGAAGAAGGGGTGATGAGGCCAGGTACTTTACTCCCCTCTTTAATCCCCTTCCAGAGACAGATCTGACCTCTGCAGGGCCAGACACGGAGCTAGAGGGATGGAGCTCAGCATAGATATGCCCCCTCCCGAGATGCTTCCACTGGCTGGGGAGATGCCAGGCTGCTGGGACAGCAGTGGAGCCCATTGAAGTCCTGTCCAGCAGCCATCTGTCTGGCACCACACACAGGGCAACAGAGGTTGCTCCTGCTGGAGGTGAGGCCAGGCCAGGGCGAGCCAGCCCAGGTGCTGGGAGAGCTTCCACTGTGTTTTCACTTTCTCTGCTTCCATTTGTGACCATTCCTCAGCAGCCCAGCCCTGCTAAGGGCACCTTGGGGAGCAGAGACTGCACACACCTGCCTCAGCCCCAATTCACAGGGGTGCCTTGGGCATAACCCAGCTTATTAAACGTTTCTCTTCTGGAAACTCAACACTGCAGAAGTGCAACTTTCTGCTTGATTTACCTATTCCTTTGAGTGCCAGTATCTCCCTCTGCTGAGCAGGTGCTTGATGCTCACTCCTTGGGCCTTCTCGGAAATGAGCAGCCTCCAGCAGGGTCCCCAACACCTCCTCTGCTTTGTTATGGCTCTTTCCAAATGCTAAATATTGCTGCTGTTGTCATGGTGATGACTACATCTCATTTTGGTTTTAATTAAAACCTGCAGAAGTTTAGAGCCCATGCCCCAGTATCACAGGGAGCACAGAGCAGCCAGATGCTCACAGTCAAGATGAAATTTTTTAGTTCTTTTGGAAGACTGTTTTTTTTTTCACAGGGAGTTTTCCTAGAAAGCAGCTCAGTGACCAGGACATCCCATCATACAATGAACTAATGCCATTGCAATGCTGCCGTCCAAAGCTGATTTGGAGTCGATCAGTAGGGCAAGGCTTGAGTGTAAATCAAAAGTCAATCAAATCTAGCCTGCCTCACGCCTGTTGTTAATATCTATCATGGCAGAGGCTACAAGAAAGCAGAGTTTAATCATAGAATCCTTTAGGTTGGAAGAGACCTTTAAGATCATCAAGTCCAAACATTGAGCCAATAGGGCTCTAAAGTCCTCTCCCCCAAGGAGAAATATGTCCTCTAAAATGCTCTTCCCAAATTCAGGCTCTCAGAATTTGGCTCTGGGTTAGGAAAAGTGCAGACATCAACTACTCAGACATTAGAAGTGCAGATGGGGACAGGCTGCTACGATCTCCTCAGCCACAGCTGGAAGCCAGTGGATCACCTGTGTGGATCCCTGGCCTTTGACAGATACAGCAGGCCCTGCCCACCCATCTCCAGGCAGGATACAGGTTGTGTCCTGTCCAGCCTGTCACAGGCAGTTTCATCCCTGCCCAGATCCCCAGGCCTCTCTGCTCCACTAAGCTCCTTTACTTCACCTTCCCCTTGGCCTCAGTCTTGGCCCAGAGATCCCCTGAGGAAAGGGTTAACCCTCCCCTTAGCTTGCCCCACAGATACCCTGTTCTCCCTAACCTGGGAGGTGAATATGTAAAGCCCAGTCCCCGTCTCCATCCTTGATGCACAAAGGGACTTTGAAGGAGGGAAAAAATGCAAGAGAGATCTGAGGAGCAGAGATGCAAAGGCCAGACAGAGTTTCCCTAGGACTTCTCTGACCCTCTTCTGAGGACATGTGCTCTGCAGTGCTGCCTAAGTTGTTTAAGATGCTGAATAAAGGTCCATTATTAATATGTCTTCATGCCTGAGGTCAGAATATCCTCTGCTGAACAAAGCCTTGCCGTGACTATGGCCAGCTCAGCAGTAAAGCTGGATCTGTATGTTTGCTACCCAAGCATACCTGTCCGTGGCTTCTCTGATGAAGAACATGCTGAGACAAAGAAATAGGCCCTTCTCAGTTTGTATGCAATCAAATCAGCATCAACCCACTCTAAAGAGTTAAATGTTATTTTGTATTACAAGGAAGTGCAGTTTCTTTCTCTTAAAGATTCCAAGTCCACTGAGATAAAGTACTTCAATGGGACATTTTGGTTTGTTCTGAAGCTGGCCAAATGTGAGTAACTGTAAACTGACTGGAGACACCTTACTCCTGGGGGAGCCACTGACATGTGCTGTCCATCTCCATCAACAGCCTCTGCTGCAGGGAAAGGCAACTGCCAGCTACCTACACCATGCTGGCAGGGGCCTGTGTCCCTCCCACACAGGGGAGACTGGATCTGAGAAGCCTGGCAAGAGTGAAACTTTAGTCTTTGCAGGCAAGGTCCTTATAACTCTTCAATTCCCACAGTAATCACCAAGCTATTCGCAGCTTTGTGTTGTGAGAGGCAACAGCAATAAGAAACCAAAGCAGGATTTTGGTCCTAACCCATCCGTTCAAAGCAGCCTGGGACACACAGTGCCACCAGTTGGTGCAGCACCCTTGGCCTTCTCCACTTAGACACAGAATGTGTACCATGGCAGGGTGGAAGCGGCACAGACAAGGACAGATTCCTCAGAAAGTCATCCCATGAATTGACACTAAAGAATGTGCCAAGGTTCCCAGCACACCAATACCTTTGTCTTTCTACTTAGAAGTCCTTAGGAATAGCTATGAGAAAGCCATGAAGTTCAGAGTCCTATTTCCAACAATATTTTTTTTATCAAGTATCTCAGAAGAAGGTAAATATTTCAGTGAACGTTTTAACACCATAAAATGCCCCAAAAAGAAGTTTGTGCCTTACAGCCTAATGCATGGTGGCCAGCTGGTAGCTAGAAGGACAACAGCAGCTCCTGGTTGAAGTGCTGTAGGCAAGGCCATAAAACTAAAATCTCTGCCACCTTTTATTTTGGTTGGTACAATGCTGTATCCCTGAGGGAACGCAGCAAGAGCTTCCTACAGTGCAGAACAGATTTTTGAACAACATGGAAAAAACCAACAGATTGTGAAATTCAGCCTGTTCCCATTCCCTCTTACCTGAGAAGTGAAGCACAGCCAGAACCTCCTCAAGAGCATGCTGGGTACAAACACCATTGTTTCTGTAGTAGTCCTGAAAATACAGAGTTTTTTTAACTCTGCTGAGGAATTTTTGCATGAGCACCTGTCAGCAACGAGTTCTACAATGGAAAGATATGGCCAGTCTGAGTTGTCCTCCTCTTGAGCAGTTATGTTCATGGGACTGTTAGGTGCCTCCATTTCTCCCTTTCCCAGGGTGCTGGGAAGCACCTTGCCTATCACTGTACCCTTTCCAGCTCTAGCAATTCCTAGTTTCAAAGGTCTAGCAGGAATAATTATTTATGTCCCTCTTCTAAGAACTGCTGTACTTGGGGCTTTTTCTCCCCATTTTTGCTAGAGCTATTGCTGTTTTCCCTGTTGTACTCTATGAAAAGACAAAGTCTAAGTAAGAAGAATATGTGTAAGTCTGCAGCAGTCTGGGCTTGCACCCCTTGCAACTTTAGCAAATGCAGTGTCTGGCATTTACCAGCACTTACAGGTGGTTC